CAAAACTCAAAATTACCATAAAGTGCGTGTAGATAGTTATCGCTCATATGTTCAACTCATTTGAAAGTCATATGACGGGAACCGAAACAAGTATTCATCTTTATACAAAAAAAAATACCATTTATCCAAAGGGATAGGCAAAATACACAATTTAATGCGTGGTAGGTTTATTGTTTAAATCTATAGATTCATTTTACTGTCGGATTTTTACTTTATTACGTTTTACGGTAAAAAAAACGTGATGCAACCTGCACATATCGGCGAAGAAATTCAAAGATATGTGTGAAGTCAACCAACTCGCACTTGGCCAGCGTTGTTCACTATGGCCTAGTCACCCCTTATTATGGTAGGTTCCGAGCTTCTCAATGGGGGCGTATAGTGAGTTGGTGATGATGAATTTTTATTTAAATAGCTATTTGGATCTTACCACAGATAATCATGTTATGTCTGTTCCAATAAACATGTTGCTTTGACCACTTCAACGTGCGTGATTTTTAATACTCTGTACAATTTTCGCGAATCATTCGAAGCGTTTCGCGGAAAGATTTGGAACATCTTTGTTTTCGTGAAACTAGATGACGCATTTGCGCATGCAGTGGATATATGTAATATGTAAAAATAGATTTATCAATCAGGCGCCGAGTTCGAACAATGCACTATATTCGGATGAGAGCGCCATCGGAATGCATCGCTTGTATAATGTAAATTATAACCATCGTTTTCACTGTCGAAACATTCACACAAACAAATATATCGTCAGATAAATATTATATCTAATATTAGCTGTTCCTCGTGACTTTGTCCGCTTGAAATAAAAAAAATTAAAAAACCTAGCATTTGTTACTCAGTGAAAACGTAGTTTTTTATTGGTCAAAGATTTTTTCAAGTTTTTTTTTGTTACTTTAATGCATACAAAAATACAATTATTACCTCTTTATAATATTAGTATAGAAATATAGATGAATATGTTACTTTGGTATTTATATTTATGGATATATGTGCAAATTTTTTCCACGCAATTTGTCATAATGATAATTAGATAGATTTGAATGCCGTGAACAAAATGAGGGTAGGTTGGCAATTTAAAAAATGCACACTACAAGGATAACTTAATGTCGTCTGTATTCATAACCTCTGACTACCCCTATAATACTTGTACTTGAACATATGCCCATATGTTTTTCATTAAGCAGGTGAACGTAGTATCAATCTATTTCCCCTTTATAATGAATCGCATAATGGTACGCTTGTTGGATATCCCCTTAGTTACCCTTCTCTATCACCTCATTGTATTATAACACTTACTGTTACGTTTTAAGGTTGGGAATCGTGTAAATCTTGTCTACACCAGGATGGCGCCGTCTACAATTTTGGCGCCAGACAAGTATTTAACGGAGACACCCTTTAATTCTTTTTGTAAAAGATTAACTTCCCCTTACGTGGGACCACGCTTTTAATGTCTTCGTCCCCATTTATAGCAAATATCCGTTACTTTAACACGTTCAATGCCACATTTTTCACAGACTGAATTTGTACTACGGACAAGTCAGCAGAAGTGTTAATTTTTTTTTAGATGAAATTGTACCGACAAATACGACAATAACATTAGTTATTTTATTGCCGTTTTATATCTATATCTATACTAATATTAAAAAGAGGAAAGATTTGTATTTTTGTATTTTTGTACGTATTGAAATAACTCAAAAACTACTGGGCCAATTTTAAAAATTCTTTCACCGTTAGAATGGTAATTTATCTGTGTATAACATAGGCTATATCTTTTAATTTCACGCGGGCGAAGTCGCGAGCAACAGCTAGTCTGTAATACTCTGAACTAACATGAAGTGGATATTAAATGAACGGTTAAGTTAATCTTAAAATCTAGGCCTGGTATTTCAGCGAAATAAAACAAGACTTGACTAGCGGGATCGATCGTAAATCTATCGAGTCGAGTTTTTGCCGCCATTTTTAGAATTCTTTCGTATAATGATGCCTCAAATTGATGGCGGGACGAATTCTAAATTGCATCTTTAATTTAACATAGAGATAGTTGTTTGGAATGCCGTCGGATTGCAAGCGTTTAGAACGATTAATAAAAAATACGGTATGAAAAAAAGAGATATCTTCAAATGGATACGAATTAGTCAAAACAAATTCTCGTGAGTTGTTAATCAAATAAATATTTACATAGGTTAATAAATATGCTAATAAGACGTAACGTTTACAATCTGTTAATGGTTATGAAGAAGATAATTACAATTTAAACATAGTCTATATCAATAGAAATATAAATATGTTTCTACAGATTTTAATTATAAATCGATGATTATATGGCATTACCTTTCCAGTCAACATTTCTGCCCATCCATTACAAATGTAAAAGCTTGAACATAAATACAGCGTAACTGTTGAACACGTACGCAATTAAATGCCGAGTCGCCATTGTTAGAGAAATGGTGAAAGCGGATCCCGTTGGGTGCTCGTGAATCAGTTTAAAATCTTAAATACCCATTTTACAATCATGCATTTGAAATACTAAAAAATACAATAAATGGAATTAACAATCAAAAATGACATCAAAATGCATTTATCAAATATTTTATCAGTTAATCCGAAAAAATCATCCGGTTTTAATATTTTAAATGGATTAAACAAAGAGAATGTAGACTAAAAAGAATTATAGGTAAAGTGAGTACAGATAATATCAGCGTGTAATGAGTTATGAACGCGATCTATCATAGTTCCGCTGGCTGAATGGACAGCTTACCTTTGCCTTGGGGTGTAGCGGGCGTTGTCTGTGACGTCACTGGCGCCCGACGTTTCGGCGCGCGTCGCACACATGGTAATGTAATTTACTTTAATTTGTTTTAATACTACGATTGGTGTATTTAAATTCTTGTTTAATAAATTAAAGATCGGACATCGTAATAATTATAATACAAGTTTGCTTATAGATGAATTAATAACGAAAAAAAATCTTCGATGTTTTTACCGCTATCCGCCGTCCGTAGTAATACAGTTTGTATGGTTAACATGTGAGCTATTCTGGAACATTCTGTGAGTGATTTCAACAAATGTGCTAAGATTGTTAATCCAATGTGTCATAGACTATGACGTCACAGGAAACACAATATGGCGGTCGTTAAATGTTAACGATGCGATTTTTTTACGTCTATCAAGTGCTCATTTTGTTAATACTGGGATAAGAATACCCACCGACTTTGGTTTTGACAAAAGGTAATAATATTTCTTGTTACATTTATTTCTACATTTAATAATTTCACAATTATAATTAAAATTAGGTAAAACGAAATTGTCTCAAATTCCAATGGGATTTACCAAAAAATGCTGGTAATAGATAACAAAAAGGTATTTATCGATGCGTTGTTTTCAGTTCAATGGACACGAGTTGAGAGAAAGTGCGTCAATGGAAACCGTGCAATTGAGATCGTCATTGCCAACTGATAGGGCGGCGCCGGCGGCGGCTTATCCGATCATGATAACCGATGGATTGGCCGGTGACATCATACTATCGATCGATACACGACCTGTCTACCAGTCATCATTAGGTTTCGCAAAAAACTAATGCTTGAGAAGTTGGCACGTGGGTCTGAAAATTACTCCTATATGGTATATAACCTTACGTTAGAAGGTATACAACCAAACTTCCCATCTGAAGTTAAATGAGCAGTGCTTTAGTAAATAACTAGATTTCACCCGCGACTCCGTCCGCGTGGATTTAAAAAAATTAAACTGAGTAGCCTATATGTTCTTCCAGACTATCCTCTACGTCTATGCCAAATTTCATCAAAATCTGTTCAGCCGTTTAGGCTACAAACTCTAACAAACATCCATCCATCTAAACTTTCACATTTATAATAGTATGATTATATAAAAATATTGCAATAATATATCGTATTACATTATAGTGAGTCATTAATTGGCGATTTAATCTTAATCAGTGCTCAAGTGTCTTACTAAACTGTCGAAAAATATCGTTATCTCGAGTTTGTCAAGAAGACTGAAAGAGACGGCAATATACTACTATACTTTTTACTATTATTAATACGAAAACTCTTCATCGGAACCGCAACAGCAACCATCAGCGACAATCAAATAGTCACAATATACCTGTTTATGGTTTGTCAATTTACAGAGGTAAGTAGAAAAAAAAACAACATGTACACTATAGATGTCCATTTATCGACTATGGTAAATTACAAAAAAATAGTTTTTTTTAGTATAAGTAACTTACTTAAAATTGTACAGTGTATAAAACTCAGCAGTTTTTCGAAACAGAAAAACGCTACTTTATCAAAATACATCTAAGTCCTAATAAATCTTATTTCAAGTGTACAATAAAATCTATAACCTTTGTTACTTTGGCATAACCTTATCACGCCAGTGACTGTAATCGAGCCGTGAAAAAAAAAAGAATCATTACCAAATATGCGCCCGATTGTGATAAACTTTGAACTTTCTCAATAACACAGACGAATTTTATTCCACAAAAATCTTATCAACTTGTCGTTTATACAAAGCTGCTTAAGGATAAAAAAAATAATAATTATAATAATGAGTATTACAATTTTTTACATCACTTATACAAAAAGAATAAGAAAAGCAATTGCAATTTACTGACTCTACAATTTTCTAGGAAATTTAAAAATGCGCGGAATTACAATCAGTCGGTGGCATAAACTAGTCGGTTATTGTTAAAAAAAACTGGAGTGTTTCAAAAACAAGATCGCTAATAATTCAAGTCTTATTTAATTTTCAAACAATAGAGCGACAAAAAATCAAAGTCAAAAACACAATGAACTCATAAATAAATTCCTAATGAAGTGAAGTTAATATTTGATTAACATATACGAAGATCTAATTATCATAAACAAATTCAGAAAACCGGTGGATCCACTCATTATGGATTGGACAATACAATTTTGTTTACAATTCTAATAGCTTGATTTTAGATGTATGTAAATATTTCACTAACTTACCCATTAGACCAAGATCTGTTGACTCCGAGGATGTTTCATCGCTATAAGCGGCAGAAAGCTGGTACAAAATAAGCACCAAACACAAACTAAAATTAACCAACGCCATTTCAATCAATTAAAACTTGTTAAAAATATAAACTTTACAAAATAGTTCATCACTAGTTTCAAGTCATCACAACACTAATGTTATCACTTATTACTTAATTATAATTAAAGCACAATATTATTCTATTAATTTTAAATGTCAGATTTCATTCATATTACAAACAAAATGTTAATGTAAATGTGTCCATGAAAATATAAATAAACGAACACGCGTTTAAAGCGTTACGAATCAAGCAACACAACCACTTCCTTCGAGTGACATAACTCAACTATTGGTTGTTAGAATTCAACGTGAGATAGAAACAGTGGCGAAGAGCGAGTAAGCGAATGACTTCTGTTTTTGTATAGTGATGCGCTTTTTGAATTTACTTTTTAATTTATCGACTAATTTGTGTATTTCCTTTTTGAAAAATGTTTTTTCTTTAGTTATTTATCATGAAATACATTTTAAATACAAACACATTTAAAAAATATGTTTGCAGATATACTAGGTCGTTTTTAAGCTAATTTTGTTAATTAAATTAATATGACTGTACCTATGTTATTTTCGTTTATTCCTTAAATGTTTTAGATTCGGATTTAAGTATTTACCATAATTGATTATTTATTTATTGAAATTTTCAATTTGTATACCCTTTCTCAACTTTTTCTAATTATCGATAAACCTAAGAACATCACTACGATAAGAAGCATTGGGAATTACGAATCAATATACACAAGATAAAATGTATGTTAACACCAGGGTTTAAGTCACAATTTTGTATAAACTGTTCAAGTAATGTAATTCAAAATTTTAATAACATTTCGGAATAATTTTAGCGCGCTCCTCTATTGTTTTTACGATAGTTTGTACCGCAACTTTCTTCGAGGTGGCGTTTAACTATTTTAGTTCGGGCGCCATGTAGTTAATTGTTGCTTTCAAGTTTCAAGTGTTATCTATTTGGATACCGTCTACCTGACAACTATGAAAAGAATGTATATGTTTTGAATGCATTCATTAAAATTTGTAGGAGCATTTATTGTGTTTTTCAATAAGTAATTGTCTAAGTATTAGGTACTATTTAAGTATTGAACGTAAAATGGTTATATGATTATTTAAAAAATTCGCATAAATGTTAGGCGATTAGGGATGTCCTCGAATACCAGAACATAATTCGTTTAAACATATTTATTAACAATAACAATATCGATATATTTAAAACCATTATCAACACTAAACTATAAACATTTCATCATACAAGAGCACATGTACCGCGGGAATAGAGAAATGTTTTATTTGTGAACGAGAGAAAAGAAATAAAACGAGAATGATGACGAAAGGCTCTCATTTAAAAATCGAACGGCGCATTCGTTTCAATCGCTACTTAGTGTTAGGTTACGTATGCACTATCGACTATTATAAAAATTATTAGTTACACATTTTAAAAACATAGGTAATAAGCAGATTTCAAGTATCTACTGAATTTTGGGCTTTTTAATCCATTTCGTAATTTTTATGCATTGCTAAAATTTAATAGTAATTAATATAGCTGGAATTTACGTTAAACAAATTAGTTAAAACACATTTAAAACGATGACTATTACAATTTAGTTCAGATTCGTAATTCTGGGCGCTAGTGCGTTATTAACCTAACGCTGACAGGGCTTTGTAAAAAACAAAGAGAGTATACGGCAGCGTGCAACAAGGGGCTTTGTTAGGGCCGGAATGCGTTCAATCCAAGGGCCGGCCCTCATCCCGACTGGCCCTTGTATATTAATAACCTATAATGACTCTTCATTTTGCTCGGTTGCTAACCTTACAAACACAGCGATGTTTGTTGTAGAAAGTTATTTAATGAGAAAATATGCCATATGGCATTGAGAGTAAAAAAATGTTAATTTAATATTAATAATTACTCCATAATAGTGTTTATTAAAGTTTTAGTATGTATTTTAATTTAAGTTCTAGCTTTAATGACACACTAGCTTTCGCCCGTAACTCCGTTCGCGTGGAATTGAAAAAATAAGCGTAATTGGCCTATGTGTTCTCTCTATGTTCTATATCTGTGTTTCTGTGCCTTTTATCCGTTTAAGCGGCAAAGTCCAACAAACATCCATAAATCCATTTGTGTCTTCGTATTTATTATATTAAGAAGTCAGTTCAAGTTATTATATCATTTAAAGTACGGCTTATTTCTAAAATAAGCCGTATTTTAAATATAAAGTAGAGTTGTGAACATCAATTAAGGGTAAGTACGTCATAAAACAATAAAAAAAATAAGTCAAACTCGTAATAATTTACCTGCAAGAGAACAAACGCTAAAAGAATGGCGTAAAAATACTCAGACAGCTTTTATCAACTATTTCAACTTGAAGACAATATTGAAGACGAAAACAAAGGAATTTTTAAAATTTCTCATTGTAAAGGTAATTATACGGGAGAAATTCCACGAATGAAGAGGATTTTTAAGAGAGGCCACGAAACTAGCGGGCATTTATTGCTCATATTACCATGAACGATAGCTAAATAAATTAAACATATTGAGGAATAGGAATACAGAAAGATACATGAAAGCAATCTCATGGTTTAAATTTTTTTTGACATTTTACACAATTCCACCACCTAGTGGTAACTATAATATATATTTTTAAATGCAATAAATGAAGGAACTCTGTCCTAAGTTTTCTGGCGTTCATCAATTAATGGTTATTTAAACAGTACCTTAGTGCAGATATGTATACTAAGGTGACCACTTCGCGACAGCAGTGAGGTACGAAATTCGGTACATCAAAGTAAGGAGGGCCCAACTTATAATATTAAATGGAAAATCGCTGGTTTCGTGGACTGAACCCTAGCGGCGCCTGACTCAACAGGTTTGTTATCGTGGATCTGAGAGTCAGATAAGGTGAAAAAAAGCCGCTAAACAAACAATGCTTTTAGGGATTTGTCGGTGGCTGTGCAGCGCTTTCGACTGCCGACTGCTTATTGTCTTTAGATAACAACGACGCCATCGCCTTAATTACGGTCTCGACGTTAGATAAAGACCAGTAAAGAATACTCAAATCTTTTACCCTTGATTTTAGTCTATGAGCAAAGAGATGGCATTTTAAAGTTTTTTTATGATTGATATTAGGCCAGTTTTGAAATAATCAAAAAAGAACTTACTTTTATACTACTACTAGCTGATGCCCACGACTCCGTCCGCGTGGTTTAAAAAAACAAAAGTAAGTAGCCTATGTGTTCTTCCATACTCTACATCTACGCCAAATTTCATCCGAATCCGTTCAGCCGTTTAGGCTACAAACTCTAACAAACATCCATCCATCTAAACTTTCGCATTTATAATATTAGTTAGATTTGGCCTTATCGTACTATATTTACTGTTGTGTACTGCGTTATTCAACGTTTGAGATTTGGCACAGTACTGTCATATTTTCCAGATTTTAACTATCGTAATAACTAATTTTATTTTATACCAAAAATGTAGAATAGAATATTTCATTGTATTCCAACTTTATACAATTTGTAGCGCCATCTGTTAAAAATTTACAAAATCAATGAGATATGTAAAATGACCTATATTAACAATTAAAAAGATGTAATTTATAGAATTATGTTTTATAATTACACTGTAAAGTTTCCTGCGCCCTCTGAAAGCAACGCTTTTTGCTAGTAGTTGATAAATGGTGAAAAAAATCTGTTCACCGCAATACAGATCTTTGCAGTAATTATATCAATGACAAATGTAAACAAATAAAATGTAGAAATGTGTTTTAGTTCATATATGATGCTCAAGTTCCTAAAACCATAGTTGTTTAGTTATTTCTTGCGTAACCTTATTCTGCTGTAGTGCTACTATTCGACCAAATCACGGAGTAACTCAAAAAGACAAATTTGTTCACCATGTTTCTGCTTTCGTAATTAGTCGTATAATGTCATTTCCATCCCTTACTAGTACATACTGTTGTCTCACTCACACACAGTATTTTCACGGGCACGCGTCGCCGACATTTTGTTCCCTCGTCGTCGACGTCACGCCAATCGTTCGCTACCCGTTTGACAAGATCGTCGCTACAAATGTTGTCTTGATTTTCAAAATGTCGGAACAATTATTGAATATTAAGTTTGTTGCTGAAGTAAAGAAATATCCTTGTTTATATAATTATTCACTTAAGGAATATTCTAAAAAGGATGTAACAGAAAAAGCATGGGAAACCGTAGGAAAAGTTGTTAATTTAACAGGTTAGTGTTGTTTTGTGTGTAACGGTTGGACAGATTTTAACGTGACTTTCACTGGTAGGCTGATGTATGCAGTATAAATGGACTGGAAATATATTCCACGATCGCGAGGCGGAACCGTCTTTTAGGCGAGGATTCCAGTTATGTGCGAGGGCCCTAATTCGTTTCAATTCTTAACGATAATGAAGTGTAAAAATTTGACAGATGACAGAAGTCACTTGATACTGGCGCCACCTATTGGAGCTTCTTGTTTTCCCTTCATTGTTTGCGCATATACTATTTATTGAATAATATGACTTGCAATTAAAGTTATGCAATACAGTCTAGGGCCTCTAAAAATTACAAATTCCATAGAAAATTATAAATATTGCGCTATCATTTTCAATTGATTGTTATCCGGTGTTGCCATGTATTTTTGATTCTGTACCAACGTCTCGAGCAAAATATAGTTAAAAAATATCGGAATAAAAAGGGTTTACATTTTTTTCTTCATTCAGCATTGCAGGCGAAAGAGAGATGGAAAAATCTCCGTTCAGTTTTCGTACGAAACTTAAAACCCCAACCTCATGGATCATCACAAAAGAAGAAATACTATTTATCAGATGCTATGAAGTTTATTTTACCATTTACTAAAGTAGCTGGAACTCCGTCTATTGCATTTGATTCAGATCAAAGCGATGAGGAAAAGGAAACACACAACCCATTGTCTTCTACATCGTCGCCTGAACGTAAAAGTCCACTGTCCGATTTAACTCGGCGTAGTTCATCTGATTCCTCTAACCACAACTACAGAAGTAAAAAGAGAAAAATAAGCGAAACTGATGAATTATTGAATGAATTTATGAAATCAAAAAACACCAAGGATAGCGAGGAGTCAATTAATAACGCAAATAAGATGTTTTTATTAAGTCTGCTTCCAGATTTAGATTGTATGACACCAACACAAATAAGAACTTTTAAACGACAAGTGATTGAATTAATAGATAACATATTGACAGTATCTGCAAACACATCTACTTGTGCTGTAATATTAAAATCGGAACATATATCAAATAATTCAAATGCATCCTAGCAGGTAACTAACATACAGGAGGTTATGCCATTAAAAATAAATGATTCCAGAAACTATAAACAATTTGGATCTTAAGCTTCGTTAAGAATCTGATGTCAAAGTTTTAATGGAATTTAAACACAAATAGATCACTCCTTGAATGGAAAATTCAGCTTTTGCTGTGTAAGAACGTGCGAACACCTAAAACTAAACTATCGCATAACTGTTTAGTCTCGTTTCGATTTCTATGACCTTATATGGAGGTAACACACGAGGCATACAAGATTTTAGCTGCGAAACAATCGACAATCGTACAACAGTTGTACCATAGCTTAGCTTAATGTGTGCGTTCGGTGTTATGCTTTTACTGTTAATGACAATTAATTATCTATCTATTAGACCGTCATTGGTAAGATGGAGCCACAAAACACTATGTCTTATAACCTGGCTGTTTTAAGGGCGGATCCAGCTTTAGCGCCACGCGCGGGATCACATAGTGGTGGTTCATGACAACCCCCCTGGATCCTTCCTTGGACTATTTGTAGATTAATGAATTTGGACTGGAATGACGTTTCAAATTGTGCATCGGTAATTTTTTGAAATTCGATTGTCGACGTGAATAGAGTCATAACACGAGCAAGTTGAATCCTGTTGAAACATGTACGCTCGTCTTATCTGGCAACGGGCACTGTAATAATTATTTTGTTGTTAATTAGAATAAAAATGTTAACTTTTGTACTTGTGTATTTTTGGTAAACCTGATAACTGAATAATACTATTATAATAATTGAACTTGGAGCAATATAATTGGGCCTACGAATTAAAATTATGTAAACTATTTTTGAAGCTTTTACACATTCGTGTATGGCTAGTGTAGTAAATGGTTACATAAGGAAAGTAAAACTTTAGGGTTAAAAAAATACAATTGACTATAGACCATCAAATCTTTAAAATAGTTCTTATTATTATCTTAAAAAGTATAATTTTTATTAGGCATAGATTTTACTTACAATATTGTTAATAACATTTTTGTAATTTATGTTAAATTGTCATGACCATCAGTGACTCGTTTCGGTTTACGATTGGGTCTCGGTTTTGGAGTTGTTGTTGTGGTGGTGGTGATGGTTGTTGTGGTTGTTGTTGTCGTAGTTGTTGTGGTAGGTGTAGTCGTCGTTGGAGTGGTTGTCGTAGGCGTTGTAGTCGTCGGCGTCGTAGTTGTTGTTGGCGTTGTTGTCGTTGTTGTTGGCGTTGTAGTTGTTGGTGTGGTCGTTGTTGGCGTAGTAGTTGTAGGCGTGGTCGTTGTTGGCGTAGTAGTTGTTGGCGTGGTAGTTGTTGGCGTAGTAGTTGTTGGCGTGGTAGTTGTTGTCGTCGGCATAGTTGTAGTTGTTAATTCTGGAGTTGTTGTCGGAGCATGAGTGGGGGGTGGTGCGGTCGTAGTAGTTGTGGTAGTTGTTGGTGGGAGTGAAGTTGTCATCGCTTCTGTTGTAGTAGGTTCAGGCGTTGTTGTTGTTGTTGGAGTTGGAGTTGTGGTAGTTGTGGTAGTTGTAGTAGTAGTTGTTAGTTTACGAGTGATGGTTTTCCGTAATTGTACAATTGCCTTTGTGGTCTCTGTCCCTCCCAATATTGCCTTGATGACGCTTGCCGGTATCCAGTGTCCAGGCATCATGGCCTCCACGGGGTTCGCGATAAACACCAGTGGGTCCTCTCGAGAGGATGACATTGAAATATGGGACGTAAGTCCGCATGTTAAGACTGTTATTGCTCTGATGATTACATTAGGCAACACTGTAACAAAGGGAAAAGTTTTATTGTAAACTTTAATGAGAATCATTTTAAAATTACATTTCGATTATTGTTCCACTCACTTTGTTTGCTTTATTTTTTAATAAAGTATAAAATTTTATCTTTCTCATGTTTCTATTTCACTGTAGTATTCACTTGCATTACGTATTATTCTATATCTTTTACTTTAAAATGCTTAGTTTTTAACTAAATCTATTATTGTAGGAAATTGACCGTGGTTTTTAAATTAAGATGAAACGTCTAGATGGAAAGTCAAATTTTAATTAAAATTGTTTATAGTTACTGTAAAATTGGCTCCATCGTTTTTAATTACTTTACCTTGTTGACTATGTTATAATCATAGCAGATGATATTAAACTTTTGTGTCCAATAATTGGTTTCTTTAAACATAAGATCGAATAAAAGCTATATTTTGGGCATCGATTTTCGATAAGGACCAAAGATTCAGGAGTAAGGACACTTTGAATAGATTATTTACGAGATTGTTATCGCTGTCCCATCGTTCAAAACATAATTGATATAATATTAGTAGTTATATAAATTTTGACAATGCTCTGAATTCTTTTAATGTACAAGTATGGAGGGAATTGTAATAGGTAAAATGGTATCAGAATTTAGCAAATAAAGCAATAATAAATAACAAATATCTTTATTTTTAACCATGCATAATATTAACGATATCTAAGATAGATTTTCGTGATCATCTCTAGGTTTTTTGCGAACAGGCTTCTTACGCTCTGTCGGTGGTTCAGTTGGAGCTTCTGTAGGTGCCTCGGTAGGCGCTTCGGTAGGTGCTTCGGTAGGCGCTTCAGTAGGTACTTCGGTAGGCGCTTCGGTAGGTGCTTCTGTTTGCGCTTCAGTTGGCGCTTCTGTTGGCGCTTCAGTTGGTGCTTCAGTTGGTGCTTCAGTTGGCGCTTCAGTCGGCACTTCTGTAGGTGCTTCAGTCTGCGCGTCTGTAGTTACTTCAGTGGGTGCTTCAGAAGGAGGATCTGTAGGTGCCTCAGTCGGTGCTGCGGTGATCTCACTAGTTACTTCTGCCTTTGTAACTACTTCGATCTTTTTAGTCGGGCGAGGTGTGTCTGTTACATAATCTGACAGCTTATCCTTTTGAGTTACCATCTTTGTTGTCCCTTCTAACATAACTTTGAGTATGCTTAAAGGAATCCAATGTCCCGGCATATTGGCCTCTACTGGATTGGCAATGAACATTAGAGGGTCATTATCTGGATGGTATGCGTTAACCTTAGTATTAACAGTGGAAATAATTAACAGGAATACTCTGAATTGAGTATTTGAATTCACTGGAAAATAATAATCATTTAAATAAAACTTTAGTGTTCATATTTAAAAAAAATGTTGCAGATTTGTCTCTTACTTTTATCCTTTCATGTAAACGTTTTAAAGTCGCAATGACAGCGTTTTGTCGTCTTCATTTTGCAACGCGTGTCTCAATGGGGAAGCGGAAAAACGTTCTGCTTACTGATATCGGTTAAATAAATCTACCAATGAAATTAACCGTGGCTTTCTACACATGAATAATGTATGCAACTCATTAATAATACTAACATAATTCATTACCTTTCGCTTGGACACTGTTTTAATTGATTTTAAAATCAAATTGTTGTGAATACAAGTGGCAGTAAGTAATGAAAGTCATATTTTTAACTAACTTATGTAATATGTAACATGTCAAAAGATAAATAATAAAAAGTGCCTGGTGACGACTAGGATATCTATAGAAAAAATCACATTACGTCAAATAGAAACCTATAACCTAAAACTAGTTTAGAGGTATTACTGTCAATAATATCGTCACTTATTAATTAAAACACAAACAAAATATAAATACATTTAATGCGATGGGGTAAATAACAACAACAAAGAATCAGTCTTTTTTTTGGTCACCGTAGTGCACTGTAGCTTCACTTGTTTTAGAGTTGCTCAGTCACTCGGTTGGTGACAGTCTGAGTCATTCACTCAGATTTGTGAGTTAGATTGCCAGTCGCCCAGACTAATGGGTGACCGATCGTTCTATCATTCAATCACTGAGTGTGGTAAGGTGATCTTCAGATGTGGGGAAAGCGTCTAAATCTACATATAATTGTTTCTGGCCAGTTAGTTTGTCTACAATGACGGCGAATGTCGGACGGTCGGTGGGTATGTCCGCCCAGCAGTCGGTCATCAGCTCGTATAACCGTGAGGAGGCGCGCGCAGGCCGAGGTAATCGACCACCTCCTGTTAGATATGTTGGTACTTGATGATTGCTCAGCTCCGCGTATGGGAAACCTCCTGGAATAACCAAAAGAAATTTAAGTCTTGTTGATTATCTACTACTTTCCACTATCTTGATATCTTAGGTGTCTATGGTGAAGTGTATTGAATAAATGTTTGCTTTTCATGTTTCTTGTCATTCAATTTAAATATTGTTTGTTTCCATACATGTACTATCATATTTATATTTGTTATAACGGTACCTAATCTTAGCCTAATTTAATGTAACTTTATGTACAGTCGCGGACATCCGCTATGTACCACTTCAGGAAAAAAATCCTTGTACATTGCAACGAGACAAACTCCGCTTCTACAAATAACTAACTAGATAGCAGTGAGTGCAAACGTAGTGATCATAATTCAAAGAAACTAGCCGACTTTTCTTCATACAGACACAATTATAAGCTGCGCTGTATTCGTTCGTCTGTGCTGCGTCTCGTTTGGAAATGTTCAAACGATTGTAGCTTTTGAGGTGGAACACCGCCAGTTTTTCTGATTGTACATTTTGATAAATAACTATTTAATGTTCATCAATTAAGACGAAGTGATTAAAACATCTGAATGAATGTCATTCATAATCGTTCAGAATATTAGGATTATTTACTAACTTATTACATTGTATTTACAATTTAAACATAGTTAACTCGTTATCACTTTATAGGTAAACAATCAGTTAGACAAATTCACTAATTAGTAAATTAAATATAGTTAAAACAAATAACGATCGATTTTATGAGCGGCAGATCTCCGAACACTAGACCACACAGAAAAAGACAATAATGTATATCTAAAGTAAAAAAATTAGTCGAGGATTTGACTTCCAATTGCCCTAGTCATTATATTGGCCGCATCGAATATAATTAATATTTTAACTACATATCCTTACCTAACGTGGCGATCTCCCACAGTAACACAGCAAATGCCCAGACGTCACTCGCGCTGCAGTAATGTGCGTGGAAGATGGCCTCTGGGGCTAGCCAGCGGAGCGGCACGGGCCGAGCTCTCGTGTGCACGTATACCCCGGACCGTGATAGTCCAAAGTCAGCTACTTTGAGCGTACCCGCGCTGTCCACTAGAATGTTCCGAGCTGCGAGATCTCTGAAATAATGCAAATAAAACCATATCATTGTCAGTTTTCAACGCAAGATGGCGTTTTGTTATTGTAACATTATATATGTAACATTTCGATATTTTGTCGGTTAATTTGTAAGAGGTCTTATCACTGATCTGTAATGGGTAAGTCTTTGCTTTGAAATAACAGCGTTTATTTAGTTCAGACTTAAATGCGGCTTGATGATAATTAACTGTCATTAATAATGGGTATTATACATACTTCATAGTTTGCTAATATGGTGTTACTAGCTTTCGCCCGCAACTCCGTTCGCGTGACTATACTCTACATCTATGCCAAATTTCATCGAGATCCGTTTAGCCGTTTAGGCTACAAACTCTAACATCCACCCATCCATCCATCTAAACTTTCGCTTTTTATAATATTAGTAAGATTTAAAATCTGTCTTAATATAATCAAAGTTAATTATAATGTAACAGGAAATGTCTTGTTTAAATATATTAATTCGATTACGAACATCTCAGATACGTATCCGAAAACATAATAACATTTACTATAGTAAGAATATTGCAGTTTGAAAACCTTTTTGCGGATTTTCTTTGCGGGTTAGGGCAAGTCCGCCTTGACAACCGTTGCTATGCGACGTGAGTGACGTCAATAACCTTTTTCCACTTAAAAGTTTAATATTGTTTCGTCCCTTGACAAGATACCTACTGCTTTTGACTTTATTTTTTATTTACATAGGTTACTAAAGTTGTAAGAGTGATTGTGTGAAAATGAAGAATTGCTCAAAATTTTCTGCAGGCGTATTTTTATTTTCTTCTACCTATTAATCATTTGATTTTTTTTTTAATAAACTATCTAGGTCGGTCTGTTATTAATTAAAAAGTTTTCTACTAGTTGTATAATTTACACCTATTTAAACCGCACTTATTCATTTTAATTTTAAATTTTACTACACAATTTATAGGTTAGGTAATAAAAAAGCTCTACATTTACGTAATAATTTAATACAGGGTAAATCTAATAAAAAAATCAAAAGACGAGTGATTTTTATAGATTGCTACAAAATCTTTTTGAATGAAACTGATCTCAGTCAGATTTACCCTCGTTAGAGGGATATTTTCAATAGATTAAAGCAAATCCTGAGTCTCATGACCTCGTCAGCCATCGATACGCGGCGCGTGTAAGCTTATTGTATCCAAACATCGAGGATATTATGTAAATTTTGTATTTTGTTTGTATTACATTTGATGCTATGAGGATAATTCATGAAAAGGGACCGTGAGACGTACATAAATTATTAACACTAACGCAAAGTCAATTTTATATTATAATAACGCGCAAATAGTTTTCTATTTAATATTTCATTAGTATTATATTGTTTTGCATTATCTAGTTTTAAAAGTGTAGCAAAATCGCAATCGCAATAGCAAATTATTTCGTTAATGAGGAAAAAAAGAAAAAAAATTCTTTACCGCCTACCTTATTCGATCTGTGACATTTGACAAGAAGTAAATTAAACATGAATATAATAAAACATGTGTATAATTTTGTTAGCTTCAAAGAGCGTGAAGCCTGAATAAAATTGTAGGAGATCGAATTACAAACATCTTGTATCATCTATAGTATAATCAGAGGGTTTGCGAGGACATGCTTGTTACCGAATTAAATCTCACCGGGGCTCGGCCGGGGGTTGCTAAGGGACTAAAGGGCGGGGGATGCCTGGGAGGTGCCCCCTCAACGGGGGTTCGTGGAATATTTCACAAAATTCCCGGTACCTCGACCTCGAGAGGCCCTCGAGGCTAAAGTTTGCTCAATAAGAAAAATATGCCGCAATCGGCTTGTATTTACACGATCTTGTTTGAGTTTGTTTGTTGTTTTATTCCCATTATAACTAACGCTTTTAACGGTAAGAACGTTAAGTAGTTATATTACAAATCTTTTCAATAATAGCGCTTTGTTTTAAGAGCAAACTCTAGTTAAACTGTGCCTTGACATTAAAGTTAAGATAAGCAAATTAAGATTACCTAAATTAGTATCTAATGAAGAACGTTGGCTGTTTTGTTATCCCACTCACTCTCTTAATAAAATCTGAGATAACAATACGGTATTTTAAATCATTTTTGTACTAGAAACATACTAGAATTAGTCAACAATCGTATAGAAAGTACACTTACCGATGCGTGATCCCCCTCTCTTCCAGATGTCTCATACCCAGCGCCACCTGTAACGCGTATTCCCGCATGGTGCCACTGTCCAAGTGTAAAGCAGGTTCAGCCACATAATGGTCCTTTACTCTGGGGTTCACATCAGCTCTGTATAATTTGTCATCGTACAACGCCGGGTCCGAGTCGCTGAGGTTTGTGTACTCTGCTATAATAGATAACAGAGAAAGTGATCAATGGATAACCTAAAAGTGTCTTTATTAAAAAAAAACAACCAAACTTTTAAAAAGTTACGAAATCAAGTTGAATATTTACTTAACTTCATTAATTAGAATGCGAAACAATGAATGATTTCTCTCGTTAAAAGTTACGGATGTACTAAAATGTAATATTTTTCATCTTGCTGAAATATTTTGAGAATTAAAAAGAAACGTACTTAAATATATTTTATACATCATGTCTATTGTTAAAATCCCTAGCAAAATACGTATAGCAAAAACTTTTCAATGAAATATTGCGATAATTAAATTACAGGAGGTTTTGATTTATAAACAATAACTAACATTCTTCTTCACAATGTCTGTCAACATCGGCATTCCTCTTGGAGCGTTGTATATCCAACTTCCTTCTACCTCTGGCCGCACGCAGAAGAGATAGTAGGTCCCCTCTCGGCGCGTGTTCTAGTAACGCTATCAGCGGCGCCTTAGTAGTGCAACAGCCGACCAATCTGATTACATTCCGGTGGCAACCAACGTGTTTTAACATCACTATCTCTCTGAGGAAATCTTGCATTTCTTCCTCATTTGCGTTATCTGTCGAAGTAAATGTGTTATAAAAAAAAAATTCTTTAAAATGTCTGTATCGTAACACTAAACCAACTACCATACCGTTTGAGTACCTTAGTATGGTATAGTTTTAGTAAAAGAAATTAAGACTGAGTCGTGACCACCGAAGACCAGGCTAGTTTTCATTTAGTTCCGAGCACAGTTAGTTTAGGAATTGTACGTGTCAGAATAACAAAAATCTATTCTATTAGAAGCTCGTCAAAATTACTTGCGTAGTTCGAACTTGGCGTCATTTCCTTTAGTAACAACCCTGTAAGGTCTAATTTTTTAATATCTGTAAGTACCTGAGAGCATTTTAGCGGCGACCGTAGTGGTCTCTCCGCCGGGCATGTCGAGCTCCGCGAGATGCACGTGTCCGAACGCGCCGCTGCCTATGAGCGCGCCTAGGTGGACACGTGTCCGCGCCACCTCCCATTTGTCTGTGCCTTCTCCTGTTGTCTAGAAATAACAGTTACTGCATGGATTGAATGATTAGTGTAAACTGGATCCGTATTCTGTACGCACCTAAGATTATATTAAGATTCTCCAAATTCATGGATTTGCAGAAAATTTGTAATAAAATTCATATAAGAAATAAACGTATAGGCAATTTGGGGCATAATACGGGCTTCAAATTGAATTGTAATTATGCGGTTCGTTAGATAGGCGTTCTACCTTCTTCAAATTAATTTCTTCTTTTTTATTTATTCCTAATTTAAAATACTTAAATGTAAATTCTAACCTCAAAATGTTTGTGGACATAGAGTGGGCTGTTTTCCATTTGTCCTCTTGACTGAACCTCGTTTGTTCTGGAGACAAAGTAAATGATATATTTTATTAATAATGTTTTAAGATTGCATATATTGTGTACATTTGTACACAATCTTAGTTAGATTTTTCTATACTAATATTATAAAGAGAAAAGATTTGTATCTTTTATTATTTTTTAATTTCACGGGAACAAAGTCGCGAGCAGCAGCCAGTTTACAATAAATTTTATCAACACAACTGCTAACAAACCCAATTCAATTTCACCTTTTTGTCATAAAGATACATTTTATCTCTTGTAAATTATTGAAATATCCTTATGTAAACGACACAAGCTTTCATTTAATATTCAAATTATAATATAAAGTAGTTTCCTTACATTAAGCAATATTCCTAATATGTCATCTCTATGGAAATATGTTTCATTTCCGATCACAAGTTCAATGAATATATAATAAAAATAAAATTAATCAAATCCCAAACTCGACACCGATTTGAGATATTCTGCAAATTCCGAACGTAATTTGGAAATGAAAGTATAACAAGTTCTACTAATGTTTATTAGACGAAGGTTCAGTGGCAGAGATCCACTTGTATCGAGTTTCAAATATAAGCAATATGTATTTGATCCGTCTATATAAATAGATCATTTAGTTGTTATAATGTCTTTTTTAAATGTCTAAAAACTAAAGCCCCGACAACTATGTGCTGCACGAATTAAAACAAAACACTAAAGTGTATGCAACCAGACACACAGATAACTCAAAAACCGATTTGAAAGTTGTTCATTAAAATATTTTATTTTTTATTTTCTTTAGGTTCAATAGTTTTTATTTTTCTGTATATCATATATTAAGAGTTAAATCTATGTATAAAAAAATGTCAGAGAATAAAGGCTTATCTTATCTTAGTCATTAAAATGTTCCACATGTCAAAAAAATCCCCTTAAAGAAAAAAAAAAGATTATCTACTAAGCAAAGCTATCTGCCAGCGACGCCCATGAGCACTTTATTTTTTTTACAGTTATTAAAAAATTTAGCAGAACCTTCTAAGCTTATAAGCTCTAGGTTTGTGCTAGGAAATATCTAACTAAAAATTAATGTCGGAATTCTAACCTACGACTCGCATATTACCTTTACCCATTAAGTTATTGGCAGTTTAGAAAATTGCATTTAAGAAAAAGTACAGTACGTAAATTTTTCATTCAATTTTGTATACGAAAATGTCTATTCTGTGCAGATTCAGGAAATGTTAACTGACGTAATAATGAGTAGGGAAATAAAACAATGATTATCTTCGTTTAGCCGTCTAATTAACTGGGAAGTTGTTATTTAAGTCGTTAGAATCTTCCATATTATTACATTGTTTTAGATTGTTTATTCACAGTAATTAAAAATGCGATTGTTCATATTTAAATGACGTAATAGTAGAAATATTGACACAACTGTGCTGTGGTAATAGTAGGGCGACCGCCCAGGGCGCCCAGGTCTGCAAATCACTCTTACTTAACACTTATAACCTAAACATAACCTAAACATGGTATAAAAGAGGACTTCGTAGTACTAAAACCAGGATTGAATACAATATTGCCGTCTTTGTCTATTTGTTTAAAAAAAAACAAGGATGACAACCCGTTTGTTGAACAGATTTGCAGTCGAAATACAATGTTATGTTAAACGCACGTGTTAAGACGTTACTACGTCACATGTCAAGGGTCAAAACTAGCACTGCTAGTGATGTAACGTTTACGCAAACCGTACCATACTGCTACAAGCACAGACCGATTATATTTTCAATGTTAAGATAATTATCAAGTAAAATTAAACTGTAATCCAACGTGTTAGGGTTCAATATAACTTGTGGGTATGTAGATTTAGGAAAGTTGAAAATCAGATGTCGATTATTGGTTAACGTCAACTATTGTTAGAACGCATTAGTTTTGGCCTTATTCCTAATAACTGTGGCATCTTATATCAATGAAGAAATACTGTTGTATGTTAGGAAATAAAACTTGCGATACATTTTCGAAAAAGCAGCTGTTTCGCAAACTAAAAGGGATACAGTTAAAATACTAATTATAATATTAATGTTTTATTTAAGCTATTAAGAAATTAGATTTACTTTTGTTTATTTTTAACAAATTACATAAACGACTGCATTTTAATTTTACGAATACCTGTCTAGCAAAACGTTGTATTTTCTTTCCATTATTTAGGAAAATTAAAATACTAAATAAGTCATGTTCCTCCTTATCCTACTCCCGTAGTGGCGCAGGAGGTTTTTGTCCTCCACATAACTATCATACGTCATCTGTCTTCACTCCCTTTTTGATCATATCATCTTTCACGCAATCCATCTCTCTCTAATAAAATACTATATAAATATAGTGGTAACAATAAGAATATGTTTTATAAAGTTTGCATTTCAACGCCTACAGTATAATTATGACATATTACACCCACGCTTCTGGGATCGTTAACTACACTAAAGGTATCAGATTCGAATCTGCAACGTCTCTCAGCCGGTCATTAATCATTCCTTGAATACAATTCTATCCAAACTTTATTACTATTCGCATTCACGCATCGCACAACACTATTTTAAGTCATTGGTTATCTCAATAAAGATAAGTGTATTTCTCCACTAATAGATGGCGTTACTAGTCTTTTACAAAATAGGAAAAAAATGAAACTAAGTAAATTTTGTATTACTTGTAAAATAGAAAATAACATAAAAGAGTCAACATTTTTTACTTTTCAATATAAGGTTAAAAAAATCATCAGCTTCCTGTCTTAGTGGGTTGGTAGCTAATTCCGAGCTCTCATAAAGTTTGAATTGTATTATACTTCCAGTTGAACGTGCCATGTTACCCTAAATATGAGATTATTTCCGATGTATTGCGTATTACCGTAGAAAGGTAATAATGGTGATAAATTATGCTACAAGTTATTTTTGTTATTTACCGTCTGATGTATTCATTTTTGATTTAAAACTAGTCTTGTAAATTTAAAAACTGACCATATAAACAATCGATTGGTGACGAACAGTGACATGAAATGTCACCGTACAAATGTAATGTTAAGTAATGGGGATGTTTCCTAATTTTTGGAATAGCCTTTATTTTGTAGATAAACCATGTATGAACACGAAAAAAAAATAGTATAAAATATAATACTCATTATTTCAATAAAAAAACACGTAAAGAAAAACAACTCTTTCATTTCCCCCCAAAACGTCCCATGACGTCACTTCTTTGCATACGAACATTTTAAGTAATAATTAAGTACAATAGACATTTGGGTTTATAAAACACTAGCTGTTCCCGTGCGGCTTCAACCGCATAAAGTTGTGAAAATTTTATTTTATTGTTTATCAATAGCAAATGTCAAAATGACATGACATGTCTTGGTTCCTTGATGTTGGTAGCAACTTATGGTCTATTTCCCACATTAGGGTTTTTATCCAAAATATTTACCCCCTAAGTTTAATGGCCTGATAATTTATAGCCTAAAGCGTGACGTAAGTGTAGGGCTTTTAATTAAAGAAAGAATTATTCAGAAATATGCTGTAATTGCTGACATCTTAGGCAACAAAGAAGTGTGTGTTTACGCTTTATTATAATAGTATAGATATAAATTACAAGATAAAAACTATGAAGACTTATGAAATTACATTTGTTGTATAACGATGACCAACATGATAACTTAATTAAGTTGCTTAACGTTATAAATGAATGAGTGACTTAACCTCTCACTTCAGATGACTTGGGTGATAAAAGGTGGAAGATTGCTGTTACTTGATTTTATTTTTATAACATAAGGTGGCAAACGAGCAAGCGACCACCTGAAGCCGCCAAAATGGCGAAGCGACCGCTGCCCATAGACATCCGCAATTGCAGATGCGTTGCCTACCCTTATACGACGCAGGAGGAGACGCACATAAAGAGGATATTTTCCCTTCCTACGCATCTCCTCCACTGTCAAATCCACTACCTCTTCCCAACCCCTCTTTATAAGAGAATGGTGGTAAAGAGAAAGGGAGTTAAATTAGGCCTGAATGATTGAGATATTTGTCAAGTTTCGAAAATGTAATATTTTTTGATGCTATACTATGTTGATCGAAAGGTTACAACATAATCGCATACTTACACTTAGAGCGGGCGCACACATCTGACTAAACTATCGCACAACAGTTGTGCGATTGTCGATTGTTTCGCAGCCAATTCAATTGTTTATTTGCACAACTAGTTGATTAGTGTGTGCACCTCCATATAAGGTCATAGTAATCAAAGCTAGACTAAACAGTTGGGCGTTAGTCAAAGGTGTCCGTGGGCTCTAAGAGAAATTTAACGGTAACGTAAGCAGCACCTTAGTGTATGTTCTATTTCTAATTTATTTCGTGGATTCCAATCCCGTCATTCGACTGTATTTACATTGACAACACATCTATACTATTTATATCTATACTATTATAATAAAGCGTAAACACACACTTCTTTGTTGCCTAAGATGTCAGCTATTACAGCATATTTTTGAATAACTCTTTTCTTAATAAAAAGCCCTACATTTACGTCACGCTTTAGGCTATATATTTTCATGGCAATAAACTTAGGGGTAAATATTTTGAATAAAATCCCTAATGTGGGAAAGAGACCATAAGTTGCTGCCAACATTAAGGAAACAAGATTGCCAAGGTTTGTCATGTCATGTCAGTTTGACATTTGCTATTGATAATTTGACAAATGTAAACAATGGAATAAAATTTTCATAATTTCATGCGGAAGAAGCCGCACGCGAACAGCTAGTTTTAAATAAAATATATATATACTAATATTTTAATGCGATAACAACGAATAAAGTATAAAGTTATGGTATTTATTGTACGATTGTAAATACAATTATCATATATTTTTGACCGACTTCCCAAAAGAAGGAGGTATTCAATTCGACGGTATATTTTTTTTTTTTTTTTTTAATTTTTTTTT